ACAAAATAATCCATAGAATTGATAACAAAAATAACACATAAAAATGATAAATTGCACACAAAGTATTTTGGAACTTGTAATTCTAATTTTTGTTTGGACTGTGAGTCAAGTAAATGTACACATACTAAGTGCTGAATAAAAAGACTGAACAAAAAGATACTCAAACTGGAAACCGTGGACACCTCCGGGTGACAGGACTATGGATGCTTTTTATTTTCTTCTTCATATTCAGTTTATTTTCCTAATTTTCAATGAGTATATAAGTAATTTATTACCAAGAAAAAATGATATTTTAAAACATGGTTCTTTGAAAGCAGAAATAATGTTAAATGAAAGCAATTCTGATTCTGTATGCCTAACCTGTTAACTACTTCTGCAGAAATATTACACTCAACGAATTCAAGAAAAGAAGGATTTTATTCTTCCTGCTTTTTGTGTATTAAGAAAAATCCTGACTTAATCATCAATTTATTCAGCAAATTTTCATTATCAGGAAGTCTACAAACAACCCAAACTTGCCTGGCTCTCAGCAAATAAACAGACTTTCTTTCATTAACCTGCAAAATACCGAATAACACAAATGTTAGAAATATCTATTACCCAGGAATTTTAGAGTATATAAAACACACCTAATTATTTTGATGGTAAAAAATCCTAAAATTTACTCAAAATTTGAGTACCTAATATATATTGGTCAAGCTAATCTTTGCCAGATACTGGAAACAGGCCAGCTTTTTAGCTTCCAAATCTACAAGCTATGAGGACTAACCTAGTTTGGTAGTTTTTATAAATTTTGGTGCCCATCTCTTTTTCCAAATGAACTCTCAAGTAAAACAGTGACAGAGTTAAATATTCATTATGTAATTACTCAGTCATCTACAGAATCCTTGAAGCATCTTCATAAATAATGGTGCAGTTTGAAAACCAACAATCTCATCCAACTTCCTTCCCAATCCTCACCATAAACCCTTATAGCCAAGGACTCTGAAATCCAGGAGAGGCAGACGACTCTTTAGTTACTGCCTAGGTCAAAGGTAAAACCATCACCTTCCAGTTGGTAGTTCAATCTTCAATCTTTTCCATTATGTTTTTTCTCTACCAATTCTAATATATATATAGGTCATATATGTTTATGTTTTTGTTTTTCTTTTCTGACACAGGGACACTCTGTCACCCAGGCTGGAGTGCTGTGGCATGCTCTAGGCTCACTCTAGCCTCAACCTCCTGGGTTCAAGTGATCCTTCTGCTTTAGCCTTCAGAGTGGCTGCAACTAGGTGCATGCCACCATGCCTAGTTGTTTTGTATTTTTTGCAGAGATGAGCTCTCACTATGTTGCCCAGGTCGGTCTCAAACTCCTGGACTCAAGTGATCCTCCTGCCTCAACCTTCAAAAGTGCTGGGATTACAGGTATGTAATTCCTACCGCTCAAAATCCTCCAATGGCAATCTATGTCACTTAGAATAAAATCCAAGCTCTTAACTATTGGCTTACGGACCCTAGTGACACAACCCGTCTTCACCTTCCAACCTCAGCTCACTCTTCCCCTTGCTTGTCACAGTTCAGCAAGCCTTTCCTTGGGTCCTTTAACAAGCCAGCTCGTTCTCATGTTGGAGCCTTTGCACTGACTGCTCCCTCTAACCGAAACATCCTCATTCTTCCCTGATTTACAGCTAATCTGAAATTTTAGGAGGAGACTAGACCTCCCCTGACCTCAGTAGTGACCTAGTTACTTTCCAACACACCAGTTTACGTGAATTTCTTATACTTATCACCATCTGATATTTCTCTTTTTGCTTGCCTCTTCCTCCCACTAAACTAGAAGCTCTTGGAGAGCAGGAACCTTATCAGTTAAGTTTATCACTATGTCCAAAGGTACTCAGTGAGCAAACAATAGGTAGGTAAACAGTAGTTGTGGATGAATGAAACATTATTCCTTTTAAAGGTGTCTAACTTGGAAGCCTCTAATCTACCTTGTTTTACAAGGATATTTTAATTAGGAATATGGACTTTGTGGCAAAAAACTGTATTTTAAGGCATGTCTGAAATGGAATGCACGTCAACTGGCTACAAGTGTGTGTGTGTGAAGTATTAGATAGCTATGCAATTATTTACCATCATTAATAGTGATAAACAAGAATGTTCTGTTGGCTAATAAACTACAAAGTTAATGAAAAATTCTCAGTGGTTGATTCTGAACTATCCATGCTGTTCAAAAGATGTTGATAAATTAATGGGTGAGGAATTAGCCTTTTTAATCTAAGGCTAAGATGTTGGAAAGCATATACTATTCAGGTCTGTCACAACATCTAAAGTGGCGTTTCTGTTCAATCACTTGATGGCTGTTTTGGAAGCTCTTTCACAGAGATGACAGATGTCTTTGAAAGTGGTGCCCACTTCCTTTTACAAGATTGAGCAACAGAGCATGGCAAGGTGACCTCTTAACATTCCACACTGAGCAAGTGTGTTCTGGGAATTAAAATCTATTTCTCCAATCCTGCCATGCTGAAAGAGAAACCATACAGTCCTTCCACTTTCTAAGTTTTTTATTTGTTTAGGCTGGTGGTTCTCAAAAGTGTGCTATCTGTACCAATGGCTAAGTGTCATCTGAGAACATGCTAGAAATGTCCTTCTCAGATGCCATCCTGGAGTCACTGCATCAGACAGTATGAAGGTAAGTCCCAGCGAGCTACCGTATAAGCCTTCAAGGTGATCCTAATGAATATTAAAGTCTGAGAATCACTGTTTAGGTTATTTTTCTTCCATAAATGCCAGTCTAAACAATAAAGAGAAAAAGGCCAGCTAGTTTAAGGAATAATGCTTGTCACAGTTCCACAAGCCTTCCCGTGGGTCTTTTAAGAAGCCAGCTTGTACTCATGTGGGAGTCTTTGCATTGACTGTTCCCTCTGCCCAGAACATGCTCGCTCCTTCCTTATTCACAGCTAACCTGGAATGTCACCTTCTTAGAGTCACGTCCCTGTGGGATTTGTCAAAGTGCTTGCATTATGCAGGATATCACACATTATTTTAAAATTTAAGTGTGTTATGCATGTAATGATTTTTAATGACTTTTATATTAGAAAATAGCACAAAATGGTTTGATAACTACCTGTTACATCTGTGATATGGATAACTGGAGTGGTAAACAAGCATTCATAGAAAACCTTCATAGAAAAGTTAACTACACACAAGACAGAACCCAGAAAGGCACTTCCTGTTTTCATATTAATAGTCAGTTACTTCATATCCAGAGTAGATAATAAAATTAAGTTGGGGAAAAAATAGTTTGTGGCTGTTTAGAGAAATCTCATACACACTTGTAAGAAGGTTAAATATTTAAAAAGTTGAATGTTATATATGGAAATGATTGTAGGGGTGCATGTAGAAACAGCCAGTTCTCATGGTAAACTCCCTCCAAATACTGTGATCCGTTTCAAACAGAACAACTACACTCCCCTGGCCACCAATGCACTGATCAGGAGGACAGGGTCCCTTGGCTTATTCTAGACAGTCTGTACAACAGATTTATATAAGATGTGCTTTTTTTTTATGCTTTAAAAACAATAAAAAAATCAATCAATAAATTAAGTAGTTATACTTTAGAGTAAAATATAATGCAGAAAGAGCCAGTTAATTTTCCTCACAAGACACAAGATTACGTGAAATATGAAAAAGGTGGCTGTTCTGTTAGTTTATGATGTATACACTTATCTGTCACATTATAATTTAGGTCCCTCCTTTTTCCTCTTTTAGCAATCCTCAGTTACTAGAAGGCGGTGTTATCTACAGGGAAGAACGCCAGCCTGGGAGTCAGGAATTCTAGCGCCACCTCACTGAGGGACCCTGGGAGCATTTTCTGGTGTCACTTTATTCACTCCAACCATCTCTGTAGCATGAACATTGCACATAACTCTATGAACAGTAGTCAAGTTATCCCAACACAGAAATGTTCAGAGGGTTATAAGCTAAAAAAAGACTTAGATTGGCAAGATTTGTATTTTAGAGAAAAAAGGTAGCAAAATCCAATGCCAATTTAAACATAGTATCTAAGAGCAAGCAGTGAACACTGCAAGGTGAACCATGTAAACTTTATCTCTGGTTCTTCACAACCAAAAGCAATATTCTGAGATGAATGGCCAGTATAAGAAGATTAATTGAGATATTCTTCCAGGTCATACAGAAAACACAGCCTCCTCTAAAGCTACAGACACAGCATTAGGCCTTTTGGTAAATATCTATTTTTAAATTATGTGTTTTAGGAAGACACACTCAGGAGTACTTTATTTCACAGATTCTGAGATGCATATTTTTTCCTATTATAAAATATCTGAAATATCTGAACGTGTCCTAATAGTCAACGAAGTCTTAAACCATCGCTGGCCATGTAGCAGTCTTAGTGATCATAGATTATATGTGTATGAACATCAGAACATCGAGTCTGGAAGATGGAAGTCACAGCTTGAAAGAAAATCTTGGGAATAGTTGTGGAGCACTCATTTAACCCTTCAGAGCCAAGATTGTTGGACATAAAAATAACTAACTTTACATATCATTGATGGCAAACCCTAAGCCTTACAAGCCTCACATCACTGGCTTTTAGCTCTTTTACTGGTTCTTTTAAGAAATGCTCTTGATAGCACACAAAGCACCATGTGGGAAAACACGAGGCTTATCAACACCAAGTGAGTCATTTGGAAGAGTGTAAAAAGGCTTTAGGAATACAAAACAGAATCTAACTAGCTCATCTTAGCATGCACAAGTTGGGTGTAAGGTTAAAATCATTCTCTAGATAAATCAAAGCTATCTATTCCATTAATGGAGGAAAAAACCTGTTATAGGAAAACCTAGTATGACAAAAATGCAGTGTTAAAAACACTAAGTAGTGTAATAACAAAAAATAGTATGTCTTATAATTCATGAAATACAGTAACATCTACTTGTAATCTGTGGAAGACAAGACATTTTTGCTTAATTCCACCTAAAAGTGTCCTCTGGTGCATCACCTGCAAACCACAGCAGCCCACAGCATTCAGGATGGAGGCATTGTGAATAACTCGGTATGGGATTCCCAGCTTCGCCGCTCTCAGAACAAGGTCGCTGTGTGTTGTGGCCCTGCAGTGAGAAAAAACTAGAATAGGTCAGAAAGTCAGTAAGCAACAATGACTTTTTAAGACAGTAAAGTATAATATGAGTTAAAGTCAATCAGAGTTGAGAACACTGCATTTCTTCAAATTCTTCTAAACACCAAGAAAATGTAAGACTAAACATGCCCTTCACAATGCTACTAAAGTACACCTAGAACACTCTTAGTGCAGCCTTGACGGCTACTGAGGGAAAGGGTGTTGACTTGCTCTCTGTTCTGGTAATACCTGAAGAAGACATCTTGGAATACAGCTCAGCAATTTAACTCCCAAGGAACAATTCTTAACCTCTTGGGCCTAAAAGCCCTTTTCAATTCTTAAAATTACTACTCTAGAGTTCTAAATTAGAGCATAACTAAGACCACTTCCCTATTTCTGCTCTATTCTGAAGGCTTTGTTTTTGTATTTTGAAATATAAGGCAAGGTATTGCCCACTGGGTTCCAGACAAGCGCAATCAAGTGAATCAAAGGAAAGCCAGCCACGCTCACGTTCTGGTTTGTTATTGCATATAAAAGTTATGTTTATACTACATTGCAGTCTACTTAAAGTGAGCAATAGTATTATAGCTAAAAAAAAGAAAAATACACATCTTAATTTTAAAAACTTTATTACTAAAAAATGCTAAGGCTCACCTGAGCCTTTGGGGACCCATACTCTTGCTGCTGCCTGAGGGTCTCGCTCCGTGGCGATGGCTACTGACTGGGTGGTGGCTGCTGAAGAGGGGGTAGCTGTAACAATTTCTTAAAATAAGACAGTGAAGTTTGCTACATCAATTGGCTTTTCCTTTCACCAAAGCATCGATGTTGTGTGATACAATCTTACCCCCAACAGAGTTTCTTTCAAAACTGGAGTCAGTCCACTCAAACCCTGTCATGGCTTTATCAATGAAGTGTATGGAATATCCTAAATCCTTTGTTGTCACTTCAACAATGCTCACAGCATCTTAACCAGAAGTCAATTCCATCTCAAGAACCTACTTTTCTGCTCATCCATAAGAAGCAGCTCCTCATGCATGCAAGTTTTACGGTGAGATTGCAGCAACCCAGTCCCATCCTCAGACTCCACTACGAATTCCAGTTCTCCTCCTATTTCCATCACATCTGCAGTGACTTCCTCCACTGCAGTCTTGAGCCCCTCAGTCATTCATGAGGGCTGGAATCAACCCCTTTCAAACTCCTGCTAATGTGGATATTCTGACCTCCTCCCATGAACCCCAAACGCTCTTAATGGCATCTAGAATGGTGAATGCTTTCCAGAAGGTTTTCAATTTACTTTGCTCAGACTCATCAGAGTGATCACTCTCTATGGCAGCTACAGCCTCACACAATGTATTTCCTAAATAATCAGACTTGAAAGTCAAAATGACTACTTGATCCATGGGCTGCAGAACAGATGCTGTGTTAGCAGGCCCAAACACATCGACCTCCTTGTACATTTCCACCAGAGCTCCATCAAGTACATTGTCAATTTGCAATGATTTTGAAAGGAATTTCTTTTTTTCAAGCAGTAGTTGTCAATGGTGGGTTTCAAATATTCAGTGAACCATGCTGTAAACAGATATGCTGTCATCCAGGCTTTGTTTGTTCCTTTTACAGAGTACAGGCAGAGTAGACTTAGCATTGTTTTTAAGGGTCCTGGGATTTTTGCAAGGGTAAGAGAACATGGGCTTCAACTTAGAGTCACCAGCTATATTAGCCCCATCAAGAGCATTAACCTGTTCTCTGATATCAGGCACTGACTTCTCTGAAGCTATGAAAGTCCTAGATGGCATTCTCTCCCAGTACATCGTCTACATTGAAAATCTATTGTCCAGTGATTCATCAGTGATCTAAACTAGATCTGGGTCATTTGCTACAGCTTTTAAACCAGCACTTGCTTTCGAGCTTGCATGTTTATGTTATAGAGATGACTCTTCTCCTTAACCCCATGAACCAACTTCTGTCAGCTTCAATCCTTTCTACTCCAACACCTCACCCTGTTCAGTCTTCACAGAACTCAAAAGAGTTCAGGCCTACTCGAGATTAGGTAACAGCTTAAGGGAATCTTGGGACTAGTTTAATCTTCTATCCAGACCACTGAAGTTTCTCTATATTACTGATTAGTTTGTTCACTTTCTTGTCATGTGTCACAGGAATGGCAATGCTGATTTCCTTCAAGAACCTTTCCTTTGCATTTGTAGCCTGGCTGTGGGATGCAAGAGGCCTAGCTGTCAGCCTGTCTCAGCTTTCAATATGCTTCCTTTAACCCATTCGCTTCAAAGGAAAGACATGCATCTCCTCCTGCCAAAGGAAAGACATGCATCTCCTCCTGCCACTTGAAGACTTTGAGGCCATTTTAGGATTGACTGGGCTAATTTCAACACTGTTGTTTCTCTGGGAGAAGGGAGGCCCAAGTGGGAAAGGAGAGGGTGGCGGACAGCCAGATGGTGGAGCAGTCAGAACACACACAGCCTCTGTCAGTGAAGTCTACCATCTTACATGTCCTCAGTTGTGGTGCCCTGGAATTATAGGAGCGACATCAAAGAGCACAGACCACAGATCACCATAACAGATGTCATAACTACAGAGAAGTCTGAATGATTGCGAGACTTACCAAAAGGTGACAGAGACAGGAAGTGGACATACTATTAGAAAAATGGCACCGATGGGCCTACTTGATGCAGGGTCGCCACAAAGCTTCAATTGGTAAACATGTAGTATCTGCGAAGTACAGTAAAGCAAAACACACTAGAACAAGGTATGCTTGTGTGGGAGTTTTCACAGCCTGTCACCTTCCAGTTTTTATGTGAGAGCCCTTGCTGATACAATCCTAGCTGGAGCTTACATTTGTCTCGCTGTCATTTTATTTGTGTGTGTGTGAAAAGATAGAGGTTTATTAAAATATAAACATTTGAGAACAAGTAAGATAGAAGATAACTACAACATATACAGGCACTTGCTGCGAGCATCATCAGAGGTATTTATCCATTGACTACCATGTGCTACCACACCTTTCCTGGCTAGAATAGAAGATGGGGAGGTGGGACAGAGTTGCACTGCTGCCTGCCTGCCTGCCAGGAGGGTATCAGGACTGCTTCTTAGGGAAAGCGCGACTTGGGTCAGGGGGCCCCACCCCAGGGGGACCTTCTGGTGCTCCCCGCTCCCTGCCTCAGGCTTCTGGTCAAGACCTTGCTGTTGTCCTTGAGGGCAGTGAGGGCTCACTCAGAGTGGGGGTTGGGCAAGCTGCCTGGGCAAAGGAGGAGGATTCTATGACCAGAAAGACACAGCAGGTGGTCCCTGCATGGGAAGAGTCCACCCTTCGTGACCTTGAGAAAGACACACAGGCCAAATGTCTGAGACATCAGGTGGGTCCAGCACCACCCACCTGGGCTCCTCATTGGCATCAGGCCCCAAAAACCCTGCTCCTCTTCACAAATCTTGCACCTGTTTGGTGGGCAAGGCTTCTGAGGCCAGAAGAGGGCCAGCCCCGTGGATGGGCTGTGTGTGTGTGTGTGTGTACAGAGGGTTGAGGAGGGAGGGAAGATGCAGCTTGCCAGGCTGAGGTATCCGTTGTGTGCTCAAGCTTCTGACTTCTCTTTCCTTTCCTGGACAGACCTGAAGGTCAGTCACACCTCCAGCATGCCTCACGCATGGCATCTCCCACCACCAGTCTGATGACGTCACAGTGGTGCTCAAACGAACACTTCTGGCTTACTTGCCAGAGGTGAGCCTCATGCAAGAATCACCTCTTCTCGTCAACACAGGAGCAAGTTGTTCCAGCCTGGGGCTGAGGGGCAGATGGAACTCTCAGCACCTCGTTGCTCTCCTGGGCAAGGTGCATGGCCTCCATGGCCTGCCCGTGACCTGAGCTGGGAACACTGAGCGAGGGGAGATGGCCTGTCCCCACCCTGGCCAGCTGGGGGTGGGGGCGTGGCTGGAAATGTTCAGGGCCCCTCTTCAGAGCTGGTGTACCTCAGGCCCTGAACACGGCTGAGAGTGGGCCTCCCCACCACTGTGATCCGAGTCATCCCCCCACTTGCCTCCCCTGCCTCCTCCCTCACTGGGCCTCTAGGGAAGGGCCAGAGGAGCTGGGGTACCAAACCACTTGCTTGGCTTTGGGGGTGATATTTTCATTTCTTTGCTGCTACAACAATAAAAATTTTAAAATAAGACAATAAAAGTCAGCAAAACAACACATATAAAAAAGATTTCAGAGATGCAAATACTTCCTGAGAATAGAATATCAACAGTTACAAATCTGAGGTATTTCATCGGCCTGACATCAGCACGTTGGGGAATGGTGAGGCTGAGAGGACCCTATGGCGGGGGGGGGGCAGGGGACACATGAGCTGTTCTTGGGAGAGCTGACCAACTAGGGTGAGTGGGGAGCATGAGGTCTGGGGGCATCAGAACAGAGTCCGCAGGAAGAAGGGGCCAGGGCCTGGGCCGTCCCAAGGCTCTGCCTTCCCCTAGCAGACGCCTCTGGGCCCTGGGACTGAAGACTGACATCACATGCTCTTTTTTGGAACCACTAAAAGGGGTATATGGGACCCTGAGGATGGACCCAAGACCTGAATTTGGGGGACCCACTCCCAGGACCCAATTGGTAGGCAAGGCAAGGTGAGGGTCCACCCCACGCTCAGCATAAGGGCCACGAAGGCATGCACTTAGCTCCTAGCAGCCCCACCTGGGACTTAAAAATGGGATTGGGCAACCCCTTTGGGTCCCCTCCCACTGTGAGAGTTTTTCTGTCCTCTCAATAAATCCTGCTTTCTAAAAAAAAGGGGGGGGGATTGAGCAGGGGAAAAGACAAGTGACCCGGGGGGTCATGGCAGAAGGGCAGGAAAATAAAGCGGAAGAGATGGAGGGCCCCCAGCCCTGAGCCAGCGGGCAGACTGTGGCACCCTGTGCCTGGGATGGAGGGGCGGGAACCCTGGAGGAAGCCGGGTGCCCACAGACCCCCACCCAGCGCTCCAGCACAATCCCGTCCTA